TTTTCGGATTTCATGTAATTTCACTGGAATTCCACAATAAGGTTTCAAGGAATTCCATGTATATAATTCGACAAGAATTCCTTGGAATTTTACTCGACATTTCATCGAAATTTTATGTAAGTCGACACAAAATGAAATTATATGCATATAATTTGATGGAAATTCTGCGAATATTTCATTTTTTTTATTTTTTTTTCGAGATTCCACGGAAATTCTCCCAAAATTTTATAGAAAATCCAAATTCTATAATTTTTTTAAAACTGAAACTTCCCAAAACTTCACCACTGCTATATCCTGGAATTCCACAAATTTTTCATAAAATTTTTCGGAATTTCACTAACATTTCCTATAATTTCTTAGAAATTCCTTAGAATTTCACTAAAATTTTATGAGAATTTTTTGAAATTTCACTGAATTCCACGTTTTAGTCGAATATTTCTCGAAATTCCAATGAAACTTCAAAATTTCATTTATTTACATAAGAATTTTTCGGAATTTCACCGAAATTCTCTTTCAATAGTCAGGAATTTCTGGAAATAATAATGAAACTTCAAGTTATTTCTTGAAAATTGACCGAAATTCCTCCGAAATATATTGAAATTTCATATCATTACATGGGAATTTTTCCATTCACCGAAATTGTAAATTTTTAGCCGGAAATTCCACTTGTGAAATTTTCTCTAATTTTTCTAAAATTCAGTAATTCGATAGGAATTTTTCGGAATATCAATTTCAGTAAAATGCCATGGTTTTAACTGGGAATAAAAATAAAATTTCATGTAATTAATTACATTAGGATTTTTTGGAATTTCACTGGAATTCCTTATGAAACGACAAGAGTTGTTCAAAATTCCACTTAAATTTCATGTAATTCCCTGACAATTCCTTGAAATTTCATGCAATTGCATTGGAGCTCCATATATAATTCGACGTAATTCGAATTCGATGTAATTTTTTGAAACTTTTTATAAATTCTTTATGTAATTTAATGAGCACCGAAATTTCATGTTGGGAATTTCGGTGTAATTGCATGTAATTGTATGGAATTCCTCCATGCAACTCATTCAGGATTTCATGAAATTCGATCGAAATTCCACTGAAATTTCATGTAATTTCTCGAAATTTTATGTAATTCGAGAGGAACTAAAATTAAATGTGAATTCTATATTGGAAACTTGGCCAAAATTTCACATGTCACATTTTACACCATAAAATTCAATGGGATTCTTGGAATTTTTTTTTTTCTCCGGAATTACAATATAAGATTTCATGAAATTCTTTGGAATTCCAGTAAAATTTCAAGTTATTCCATGGGAATTGCGCTGAAATTTTAGTCAATTCCATAGAAATTCCTTAGAATTTCACCAGAAGATTTTATGGAATTCTTCGAAATTCCATTCAAGTGATAAATTTGAATGGAAAAACGTAAATTCCTAGAAATTTAGCTATAAGATTTCATAATACTTTTCCGAATTTCATCATAAAATTCTATGGAATTCCATCATAAAATTTAATGGAATTCTTGCACAAAAATTTCTTAGAATTACACCATGAGATTTCATGAATTTCTTCGATATTCCATTAAAATTTCAAGTTATTCTATGGAAATTCCCTGAAAATTTTAATTAATTTCATAGAGATTTCTTGGAATTTCACCAGAAGATGTTATGGAATTCCTCGAAATTCCATTGAAATCGTAAATTTGAATAGGAAAACGGAAATTCTTGAAAATTTTACTATAAGATTTTATAATATTTTTCCAAATTTCATCATAGGATTTCATGGAATTCCACAATAAAATTTAATGAAATTCTTGAACAAAAATTCCTAGGAATTACACTATGAAATTTCATAAAATTCTTCGGAATTCCACTAAAATTTCAAGTTATTCCATAGGAATTTTTAGTAATTCCATAAGAAGTTTCACTGAAATTATCTTTTAATAGCCAGGAATTTCTGGGAATATTGATGAAACTTCAAGTAATTTCTTGAAAATTCACCGAAATATATTGAAATTTCATGTCATTACATGGGAATTTTTGGGAATATTACCAAAATTCCATGTTTTTAGCCGGAAATTCCTCGGCATTTCACTTATGATATTTTCTGAAATTTTACTAAAATTCAGTAAGAACTGAAATTTCAAATTGTTTAGAATTCCTCCATACGATTCAAAAAATTTAATATGAACTCTATGGAAATTCCGCAAAAGTTTCACATGTAATTCCTTTTTCAGAATAACATAATTCAACAGAAATTCCACTAAATTATGGAATTCTGAGAGACCTAACAGATTTTTGGGGATTCCAAAAAATTTTTGAGAATTTCAAGAAAAATATTTTTCAGGAATGTTAATGATTTTATGAGATTTTGCAAGATTTTTTTGTTTTTAATGCAATTTTGTTAGATTTTGTGCAATTTCAAGAGATTTTGTGGGGTTTTGTTAAATTTTTAAAAATTTCAAAGATTTTTAGGAATTTTGAGTAGATTTTATGAGATTTTCTGAGATTTTGACTTGTACATAGATTTTGACCAGTTAACCACCCCTCGAGGTAAAGTATGCATGGAAATTTGATTTCCAAATATTTCAAAGGGCCATATTTTGGAAACCAGTGAAGTTATTGGCATGAATCTTTTGCGCAATTGTAGCTCTTAATAAGGGCTACAAAAAAGGTTATTTAGGACTCCGAGTTCAAGGGCTTCGTTTTCAAAATAATCCGCCTGAAAGCTTTTGCAAAATTTGAGATAAAGTTTCAACTTTGAGCCTCAATATCTTCAGAAGTATTTAAGATATAGAATTGAATCTTATTTTATCTTGAAGATAATTTGATTCTGATTCAGAATATATAATTTTAGATCATATTTGTTATAATAATAACCGAGTAATCAGCAATTTTGTGAAAGAATGTCAGAGTAATGAAATTTTTTGAGCCCAAAAATTGCAAAAATCGTTTTTATTTTTTAATAAGGCTTTAAAACCCAAAAAGGAAAGTTCTAAAAATGCTTTTCTACTAATTTTAACCTCTTCTTTCGATTGGTGAAGTCAAAAATTGCAAAATCCATAAAATTTAAAAATTCGAAATTTTCCAAAGAGGTATTTATGCATGGTAATTTGATTTTCAAATACCATTCAAAAAGCCATATTTTGGAAACCAGTGAAGCTATTGGCATGAATCTTTTGCCCAATTATAGCTCGTAATAAGTGATACAAAAAAGGTTATTTAAGACTTTGAGCCCAAGGGCTTCGTTTTCAAGATAATCCGCCTGGAAGCTTTTGCAAAATTTGAGGTAAAGTTTCAAGATTGAGCCTCAATATCTTCACAAATATTCAGGATATAGAATTGAATCTTATTTTATCTTGAAGATAATTTAATTCTGATTCAGAATATATAATTTTACATTATATTTGTTACAATAATAACCGAGTAATCAGCAATTTTGTGAAAGAATGTCAAATATTGAAATTTTTTTGAGCCCAAAAATTGCAAAAATTGTTTTTATTTTTTTACAAGGCTTTAAAACTTTAAAAACAAAGTTGCAAAAATGCTTTTCACCTAATTTTGTTCTCCTCTTTTGATTGGTAAAGTCAAACATTGCAAAATCCAAAAATTTAAAAATTCGAATTTTTCCAAAGGGGTATGCATGGGGATTTGATTTTCAAATATTTCAAAGGGCCATATTTTGGAAACCAGTAAAGTTATTGGCATGAAACTTTGGCTCAATCTGGGACTAGTGTTTGGTGCTCGCATCAGTACGTCAAAACACTCAAAACCAACAACCCACCTTCAATTTTTTAATAAATTTTTACAGCTGTATGCAACATCCTCTTTTAACTTAAAAGCGCTTTTTAAAACTGGTCACTTTTAAGATTCTGTATTCTTAAGCCATACAAATTTTTAAAGGTACCAGTTTTAAAAGGCGCTTTTAAGTAGGATTCATTTTTAACTAGAAATTTGAAAAATCTATATTAAAATTATAGTTTCAATAAATCATGGTAGGTTAGCTTGTCATTATCGATTATTGAATCGTAGTCAAAATTATGGTAGAATTCGATAATTATCGGGTCATTGGCAACACTGCTTGAAAGGCTTTAAAATTCACATTTTCTAGTTCTGCGAACGAATCGTTGTTGAAACTAAACTCAGACCTTCTAAATGATTCCGAAGTTTTGTTTATGAGCTTGACAGAGGCTTGAAATTTGAACAAAGTTGAATTGTTTGGATTTTGGTTGGGTAAATAAATTGGAAATCTTCTAGCGAAATTAACACGTACAGCTGTATGCAACATCCTCTTTTAACTTAAAATCGCTTTTTAAAACTGGTACCTTTAAAAATTTGTGTGGTTGTGACCAATTTTAAAAAGCGCTTTTAAGATAGAAGAGGATGTTGCATACAGCTGTTAGAGTTTAGAGTTTACATAATAGCCAATTATTTTTTATGTGTTTGAGTAGGTGTGGAGTTTGTATATTAAATTTAGTATGTAAGTAGAATATTTCTGTATAGATTATTGATTCAAAAGCTCCCTTTCCTCTTGCAAAAGTAGACAAAGTGTGATTGAAAGACTCTAAAATTCACAATTTCTAGTTCTAAGAAAAAATTAACGTTGCTATATGTATTTGCTTTGTTTATTAAGATTTATCTAATCTTTATATTTATTTAATTTGTGAAATATCATTATTAGCGCCTTTATACAATTATCATTGTACCATTATCAATTTAAAAAATGATAAATCAATATCGCGAAAACTGATAAGAAAGTGATTGCTTATTATACCTACGATAAATCCCAGTCCCATATAATAAAATCAATTGATTAAATTTAATAACCGTTTGATAATTAATAAATTCGTGCCATCATTGATTGTTCCATATAAATAATTTAAGGCAGGAAGTCGATATGACATAATAATTAAGTGCAAAAGTTTTGTTTCTGGATAAGATTTTTTCACTATAGAGAATGAAATTTTGTAATTATTATTGAAAATTGTATCAAAAACTTACCGTTTTCGCGTGCAACTTTGACTTCTTCATGCTGGCTGCGCGTTATTTCACTGGAAAGTGTTTCTACCATTGTTTCAGGAACCACCTTGTTGTTGTGGCTCTAAAAAGAAAATGGTAATTCAATGTATAAAATAATTATTTGTATTGTATCCAGGAATATAATTTTTACACCTGCTTAAAGTACCTATTTTGATTATTTACCGACAGTGTTTTGACGTCGGTATGTTGTATTTACTGGTTGGCAAGGCTGACAGAACGGTAAGTGAATTACTTACCATTCTAGAACGGTAAGTAATATTAGTCATGTTCGGAAATTTATCCTAGATCATCCAGAAATAAAAATGAAAAACTATACAAAAAAAAGAATACACAAATATTTTATTTATTAACATTAAAATTAAACGTACAGTTATCACAATTTTTAATAGTAATAGGGAATGTGGCTTTGTCAGGATCGTTCGCATTAACTGAAAATGTTGCACATGATACAGACGTGGAATTTGCTGAAGAAGAATCAGTATTGCCATGTAAAATTTTTCCTGCAAACTCAATTTTGTTTTGCAGTGAGTCCTCAACGTAGCTTTCAGCTACGGCTGAAGATTTCCAGCCACCATGTCTTTTTAATCCTAAAATATCCACCCCTTTATTGGCCAAAAGCGTAGCTGAAGTACGTCTGAATGAATGACCAGTATAATCGGTTGGATTTCCTAATTTTAAATATTTTGCTATTATCATGGGCCATTTACCAATTGTGCCTTTCCCTACCACTTGCTTAGTGCATTTTCCTTTCTGAAAATTTAAAAACATTCGTGCAGATTTTACGTCGCTTGGTCTAAGCCTAATGTATTTTCGAATAATCTCCAAATAATGAATGGTTTCATTTTCCACATTGGTAATTGTAAATGACCGCTGAATGTGTGTTTTGGTGTTGGGAATTTTCACTATAATGAAGGAATCTCGATCCTCGATATCATTTAGAGTTATATTATATAGTTCCTCCCTCCTGCAGGCACCTGACACACCTAATATCATTCCTACCTGAAAATAAAATATGAAATATTAATACATAAAATGGAAATTATTATTGCCAATTTACCTTTTGAATTAAAAAAATATCATCTGGTGCCTCTAATAAAAATCTGGACATTTCTTCCTTTGTGAAAACGCTAGCCTTTTTTGGTTTGTGTCCAACATTTTTCCTTTTTAAGAATGTAATTAACGTCAAAAACTTAGAAATATCAATGGAATGATGTAGAAAAATTGTGGCTTTCAACATCGAGTATTCAGCCCATAAACTGCCCGGCGCTTTTAGCTGTTGATTTCTTTGTACGAAATAGGCCATCAGGATTTTTTCATCGATATTTTTTCCACTTTTCTCCTCAAACCACTTCCGGAAAAGTCCATACGTATTTTCATATCGTTCCTTCGATTTTTCTGGTATTATAGCTGAGCATCCTATTCGCCAAGCTTCTTCTAGGTCCGAATTTTCACTCTCGTCACTCATTAGTTGTTGGTTAGTTGATTTTTTTTGCCAAAAATTCACAAATATACGCGAAATACGACGCTTTTGATAACAATGTATCAGTTTGTAAAAAAAATTGGTCAAAAACACTTGAACAAATAAACGCATACATGACAACCATGAACCATGGCAATTTTATAACAAAGCAATCTTGAAAATTTTCACTGATATTTAGGGTATGATCCGAATAAGTATAGATAACCATTATTATAAACGCAGTATACTTTCTCTTCCACAAGTCGTACAAAAAATAGTATAGGCATCACAAACGGTAAAGATTTACTGGTCTCAGACAATATTGTCTTTGACCAGTAAATCTTACTTACCGTTCTTGATACTTAATATACTAATTGTCAAGTTTCAATTAGCACATCGTTGCTAAGAAAAATTTATCAAAATTGCAAATTAGCACTTTCATAATATAGGAGCTCAACAATCATCAGGCATATTATTGAATTGTTAATTTACAGTTATTGTGATTATTTAAGATAACTTTTGTATTACTATTCATCATTCTGTTTTTCAGTTTTTGTATTTTCTATTTGGTCCTCTCTTTTCAGTTTTCTTTCTTGTTTTGTATAGCCATCTTTAGAGCTTGATTTGTTGCACACTGCATATTATCTTGTTTTCCTTTTTTTACGTTTTTATTAGTGTCCCATTTTTTCTAATTTATGGATTTATTATACATTCATTCTAACTAATTGCCAATAAATTTTAATTATGAATAACCATATTATTATGACCGAATAAACTTGAATAAAACTTCAAACAAACAAAACAATTATCAGTCCTGTGAATCATCAATATTACTAATTTGTATAGTGTGATAAAATAAACAATTTAATTTAACTTGATTTTTTTTTTTTTGATAGTGATAATGAATTATTTATTATTGCACAATAATTTTCCTATAAGTGATAAATAATGATGATCTTATCCCTCAGGAGACCCATTTGGGCAACAGGAGAGAGGCCTTAAGGGAAAAAAGATAAAATAAATATATTGGGCTATAAAAAGAGATAAATTCTAGTCCATTTTATACGTATGTATACGAATTTGACTTGTTAACTAGACAAATAAAATTATCATTATTATATTGTTTTTCAAGGAGAGCCAAAAATTTAAATATTTATTCAGAGAAAACATTCTACTATATTAAGTACTAAAAATCTATGGCTTGGTAATATGCTAAAGGGGTCGTTTGCAACAGCTGCACTTTATAATCCTGTAATTGTAAAGCTGACGCTGACCTTTCCATTCAGTTCTTTGTATAAATATTATGTATTTTGCAGATGATTATATTAATGCAACTTTGTTTAAATTTTTCATTAGTTTATTAATTGTTGTTATTGTTATTAATCTTCAGCAGCCACTTGCGAGTTTTATGTTTTAGAATTTTTCAACTTTTTTCTACCTTTATTATATTGTGTTATTTTTTATTCAGGTTTCAGTTAGTTTATTACTGTTTTTGATACCTAGTTAAGATTTCTCCTTTAATTCGTATAAATTGTTTCACCCCACCACTAAATTTTGTACACCTGCTGTATTTGACTGCATGAGAATGTATAGACTGCAGAAGAATATATGGACTGCATATACCTAGATGTATGATATTTGTATACCTACTACCTACTGCATGAGTAAAACACCTCTCGATCTATTCTCAATTATTTTTGTCAGCAGATTTCCTTCCTTTCTTTTAACTTTTTCTTCAAGAATGAAATTTGCTGTTTTACATAACTTTGCATGTTTGAAAAGTTCAATTCCAATTCCAGTCCTATTATCAAGAAAGGAATTTTGAATCCAGACTCTAAAACTATATAGTTTGTTTATATTTGGTTGAGCCGTCTCCAACATATTTGGTTCTAAAAATTTTAAAAATACTATCAGAGAAACCAAGTACCTCAAATTTTACCTGCAGCTTTTACCTATACAGGTAAAATGGTTCACAAAATCAGTAGTAGGATAGTATTTTTACAATTTTCGGAGCCGAATATATGAGAGACTGTCCTATCAAATATAGACAAACTATATATTATTGGAATCGGAACATTGTGCTCTTCAAGAATATAGAATGAAATATAAGCATCCCATTTGAAAAAACCTGGAAGCATGCAAAATTTCACATTTCTGACATACAAATTTTGTTTCTGACAATGGTTTTTAAAAATTCAATCAAAACTGTACAACTTTTGTATTTACATCTTTCTTCTACTTGTTAAGGTAAAGGCTGTAGGTTGGGTGTCAATATATAAAAAAAACACCCTGTACAAATAAGTGGATTATTGCGGAACTTATGGGTGGACCTCTGCGGGACGAGCGCAGCGAGTTCCGCAGTAATCTACTCACCAATATATTATTGAACTGTTCAAGTAAGGCAACTCACATTTGAGTGAGTCAGCTTAGCATCGTAATTAAACAACATATTGATGAATAGATAGCTGCGGAACTCGCTGCGCTCGTCCCGCAGAGGTCCACCCATAAGTTCCGCAACAATCCACCCGTTTGTACTTGAATAACTTGTCACATTATATTACTAGTTTGGTAAAGTATCATTACTAATTCCTGTTAAAAGGCAAATTGACAAAAAGTGGATAATCTTAAAAATTCTGACTTTTGTATAATAAGTTATTGTTCAAGTACAGGGTGTTTTTACAAAAGTTGGACAGTATTGCCTAAATTTTCAGAATCCATGGTCAGAAACAAAAATTGAATGTCAGAAATGTGAGATATTGCATGCTTTCAGCTTTTTTCAAATAGAATGCGTTATATTTGGTTCTATATTCTGGAAGAGCACGATTTCCCGATTCTAAAACTATATAGTTTGTTTATATTTGGTTGAGCCGTCTCCAACATATTTGGTTCTAAAAATTTTAAAAATACTATCAGAGAAACCAAGTACCTCAAATTTTACCTGCAGCTTTCACCTATTCAAGAAGAATGTTTCACAAAATCAGTAGTAAGATAGTACTTTTACAATTTTTGGAGTCGAATATATGAGAGACTGTTTAATCAAATATAGACAAACTATATATTTTTGGAATGGGAACATTGTGCTCTTCAAGAATATAGAATGAAATATAGGGCATCCTATTTGAAAAAAACTGGAAGCATGCAAAATTTCACATTTCTGACATTCAAATTTTGTTTCTGACCATGGTTTCTAAAAATTCAGCCAAAACTGTACAACTTTTGTATTTACACCTTTCTTCTACCTGTAAAAGTAAAGACTGTAGGTGAGGTTGTCGATATATAAAAAAACACCCTGTACAAGAGGACATTCATGTTTTTTTCTATTCCAGGCTCTTCAATTTTCTCCATTTCAACAAATTTAAGAGCCGAGAATAGACAAAAATTGAGCTGGAAAAATGGAAAAATAGAGAAGAAAATTAAACTTTAACTGCCAGGAATAGACAAAATTGAGAAATAAAAAGGAGAAATTCAAGAAAAATTGAGGCAAAATTGATATACAAGAAGACATTCGTGTTTTTTCCCATTTCAGGCTCTTGAATTTTCTTTATTTAGAGAAATTCAAGGGCCGGGAATTGACAAAAATTGAGCTGGAAAATTGAGAAATA